GGGACCCCCGAGCTGCCCCCCACCGCCATCGCCGAGACGGGGGGGCCCCCCATGGCCACCCTGGGGCCCCCCGTGGCCGCCTGCCCGCTGGCACCCACCGAGAACGTCATCCCCAACCTGCTCATCAGCCCCCACATGCTGCCACGTGAGCACCAAGGGGAGCGTGGGTGGCCGTGGGGTGGGTGGACATGGGTGGGCTTGGGTGTGGGGTGGCCATGGGGTGGCTGGATGGGGTGGTCATGGGCACGGGGTGGCCATGGGATGGTTAGATGGTGGTGGCCGTGGGTGTGGGGTGGCTGGATGGGATGGCTGTGGGTGTGGGGTGGTCCTAGGATGGTTGGGTGGTGGTGGCCGTGGTTGTGGGGTGTCTGGATGGTGATGTCCATGGGGTGGCTGGGTGGTGGTGGCCTGGCCATGGGTGTGGGATGGCCATGGGATGGTTAGATGTTGGGGGCCACGGGTGTGGGGTGGCTGGATGGGATGGCCCTGGACATGGGGTGGCCGTGGGGCAGCTGGATGGTGGTGGCCATGGGTATGGGGTGGCTGGATGGGGTGTGGGATGGTCATGGGGTGGCTGGATGGGGTGACCATGGACAAGGAGTAGCCATGGGGTGGTAGGATGGTGGTGGCCATGGGTATGGGGTGGCTGGATGGGATGGCCATGGACATGGGGTGGCCGTGGGGCAGCTGGATGGTGGTGGCCATGGGTATGGGGTGGCTGGATGGGGTGTGGGATGGTCATGGGGTGGCTGGATGGGGTGACCATGGACAAGGAGTAGCCATGGGGTGGTAGGATGGTGGTGGCCATGGGTGTGGGGTGATTGGATGGGGTGGCCGTGGATGTGGGGTGGCCATGGGGTGGTTAGACTTGCGTGGACTTGGGTGTGGGGTGGCTGGTTGGTGGTGTCCCATGGGTGTGGGGTGTCCACTGGGTGCTGGTGGCCTGGCCACGGGTGTGGGATGGCCATGGGATGGTTGGATGGTGGTGAAAATGGATGTGGGGTGGCCATGGGGTGGCTGGACGGGGATGGCTGTGGGTGTTGAGTGGCTGGACAGGATCACCATGGGTGTGGGGTGGCTGGATGGTGGTGGCCATGGGTGTAGGATGGCCATGGGATGGTTGGATGGTGGTGGCCATGGGGTGGCTGGACAGGGATGGCCATGGGTGTTGAGTGGCTGGACAGGGTCACCATGGGTGTGGGGTGGCTGGATGGTGGTGGCCATGGGTGTAGGATGGCCATGGGATGGTTGGATGGTGGTGACAATGGATGTGGGGTGGCTGGACAGGGATGGCCATGGGTGTTGAGTGGCTGGACTGGGTCACCATGGGTGTGGGGTGGCTGGATGGGGGTGGCCATGGGTGTAGGATGGCCATGGGATGGTTGGATGGTGGTGGCCATGGGTGTAGGATGGCCATGGGATGGTTGGATGGTGGTGGCCATGGATGTTGGGTGGCTGGATAGGGTTACCATGGGTATGGGATGGCTGGATGGAGGTGGCCATGGCATGTCCCCGTGGGCAGTTGACGTCCGTGTCCCTTCAACAGTGACCGACCTGGAGATCAAGTTCCAGTACCGGGGTCGCCAAGTCTGTGTCCTCACCATCAGCAACCCCCACGGCTGCCGCCTCTTCCACAGCAGCCTGGAGCCCACCCAGGAGCAGGTGGACCTCTTTGGGCCTCTGACGTTGGAGCAGGTCCCCTTCCCCGCCACCGACGCCATCCCCAACGAGAAGCAACGCTTCTACACCCACCAGCTGCTGGACGTGCTGGACAGGGGGCTCATCCTGGAGCTTCAGGGCCAGGACATCTACGCCATCCGCCTCTGCCAGTGCAAGGTCTTCTGGACAGGGCCCTGCGCCGCCCCCAACCTCGGCCCCAACCCCATTGAGAGGGAGAAGAAGACCAAGCTCTTCAGCCTGGAGGGGTTCCTCAACGGTGAGAGGAGAAGCAGAGGGTGGTTGTCACCTGGGGACGTCGGATGGGATGGAGGGGTCAGATGGCACCGGGAAGACACCACGTGGCGTGTGGGGGACCTGATGGCATGGGGAGGACAAAGATGGGATGAGGGGACACCGGGTGGCACATGGGGACTTGTTGGCATGGGGGGACCAAGATGGGGTAGGGGGACACCAGCTGGTGTGAGGGGACCAAGATGGGGACCTGGTGGCATGGAGGAACCAAGCTGGGATGGGGGGACATCAGGTGGCACATGGGGACTTGATGGCATGGGGGGACCAAGATGGGATGGAGGGACACCAGCTGACACAGGAGGATCTGGTGGCATGGGGGGACCAAGCTGGGATAGGGGGACACCAGCTGGTATGAGGGGACCAAGATGGGAACCTGGTGGCATGAGGGGGACTAAGGTGGGATGGGGGGACACCAGCTGGTACGAGGGGACCAAGATTGGAGCTGGGGGGACACTGACTGGTACATGGGGACCTGGTGGCATGGAGGAACCAAGCTGGGATGGGGGGACATCGGGTGGCACGTGGGGGCCTGATGGCATGGGGGGGACAAAGATGGGATGGGGGGACACCAGGTGGCACATGGGGACTTGTTGGGATGGAGGGACCAAGGTGGGATGGAGGGACACCAGCTGACACCATGGGGAACCTGGTGGTGGCATGGGGGGACTGAACTGGGATGGGGGGACACCAGCTGGCATGAGGGGACCAAGACTGGACCTGGTGAGACACTGACTGGTGTATGGAGACCTGATGGCCTGGAGGGACCAAAATGGGATGGGGGGACACCAGCTGACACATGGGGACCTGGTGGCATGGGGAGACCAAGATGGGATGGAAGGACCAAGGTGGGATGGAAGGGCTGCCACCTGGGGACCTGGTGGCATGGTGGGACACCAGACAACACACGGGGACCTGATGGCGTGGGGGGACAAGCTCCCCATGGTGGGGACATCAGCTGGCATGTGGGGACCAAGATGTTATGGGTGGACACCAACTGGTACATGGGGACCTGGTGGCATGGGAGGGGACCAAGCTGGGCTGAGGAGATGTGGTGGGATGGGGTGACACCAGGCAGGACATGGGGACCTGGTGGCGTGGGAGGGGACCAAGCTGGGCTGAGGAGATGTGGTGGGATGGGGGGACACCAACTGGTACATGGGGACCTGGTGGCATGGGAGGGGACCAAGCTGGGCTGAGGAGATGTGGTGGGATGGAGGGACACCAACTGGTACATGGGGACCTGGTGGCGTGGGAGGGGACCAAGCTGGGTTGGGGGCCACCAGCCGGGGTGGTGGTGGCACAGGCTGGTGTGATGTCCCATCCTGCCCGTCCCCGCAGGTCTCATCCTGTTCCAGAAGGGTCAGACCACCACCCCCCCACCCTTCGAGATCTTCTTCTGCTTCGGCGAGGAGTGGCCCGACCAGAAGCCCAAGGAGAAGAAGCTCATCACGGTGCAGGTGAGGAGATGGGGACACCCTGGGTTGTCCCCCAGCTCGGGGGTGGGACACGGGTGGGTGTCCCCCCGTGGGTGACGCGGTGGGGACTCTTGCAGGTGGTGCCGGTGGCGGCGCGGTTGCTGCTGGAGATGTTCTCTGGAGAGTTGTCCTGGTCGGCCGACAGCATCCCCCTCCAGATCTCCCACCCCGACCTCAAGGACAAGATGGTGGAGCAGTTCAAGGAGCTCCACCAGCTCTGGCAGAACCAGCAGCGCCTGCCCCAGCCCGGCCCCACGCCCTGGTCCCTGCCCCACTGATGGGGGGACACGGGGGGCCACCACCACCAGGCTGGTGGAGCTGGGGCCACCAGCATCATCCTCATCCCGGGCTAGTCAACCTGGAGCCACCAGCATTGTCCCCATCCCGGGCTGGTTGACCTAGGGCCACCCAGCATCATCCCCATCCAGGGCTGGTGGACTCGGGGCCACCAGCATCATCCCTACCCCAGGTTGGTGGAGCTGGGACCACCAGGGTCATCCCCATCCTGGGCTGGTGGGACCTGGTGGCCACCAGCATCATCCCCATCCAGGGCTGGTGGGACCTGGTGGCCACCAGCATTGTCCCCATCCTGGGATGGTGGGACCTGGGGCCACCCAGTGCCATCCTGGGCTGGTGGGACCTGGTGGCCACCAGCATCATCCCCATCCAGGGCTGGTGGGATCTGGTGGCCACCCGTGTCCATCCTCATCCTGGGTTGGTGGCACTTGGGAGGGAGCACCCAGTGTCATCCTGGGCTGGTGGAGCTGGGGCCACCAGGGTCATCACCAGCCCAGGATGGTGGACTCGGGGCCACCAGCATCATCCCTACCCCAGGTTGGTGGAGCTGGGACCACCAGGGTCATCCCCATCCAGGGCTGGTGGGACCTGGTGGTCACCCAGCATTGTCCCCATCCAGGGCTGGTGGGACCTGGTGGCCACCAGCATTGTCCCCATCCTGGGATGGTGGGACCTGGGGCCACCCAGTGCCATCCTGGGCTGGTGGGACCTGGTGGCCACCAGCATCATCCCCATCCAGGGCTGGTGGGATCTGGTGGCCACCCGTGTCCATCCTCATCCTGGGTTGGTGGCACTTGGGAGGGAGCACCCAGTGTCATCCTGGGCTGGTGGAGCTGGGGCCACCAGGGTCATCACCAGCCCAGGATGGTGGACTCGGGGCCACCAGCATCATCCCTACCCCAGGTTGGTGGAGCTGGGACCACCAGGGTCATCCCCATCCAGGGCTGGTGGGACCTGGTGGTCACCCAGCATTGTCCCCATCCAGGGCTGGTGGGACCTGGTGGCCACCAGCATTGTCCCCATCCTGGGATGGTGGGACCTGGGGCCACCCAGTGCCATCCTGGGCTGGTGGGACCTGGTGGCCACCAGCATCATCCCCATCCAGGGCTGGTGGGGTCTGGTGGCCACCCGTGTCCATCCTCACCCTGGGTTGGTGGGACTTGTGGGGGAGCACCCAGCACCATCCTGGGCTGGTGGACCTGGAGGCCACCAGGGTCATCACCAGCCCAGGATGGTGGACTCGGGGCCACCAGCATCATCCCTACCCCAGGTTGGTGGAGCTGGGACCACCAGGGTCATCCCCATCCAGGGCTGGTGGGACCTGGTGGCCACCCAGCATTGTCCCCATCCAGGGCTGGTGGGACCTGGTGGCCACCAGCATTGTCCCCATCCTGGGATGGTGGGACCTGGGGCCACCCAGTGCCATCCTGGGCTGGTGGGACCTGGTGGCCACCAGCATCATCCCCATCCAGGGCTGGTGGGGTCTGGTGGCCACCCGTGTCCATCCTCACCCTGGGTTGGTGGGACTTGTGGGGGAGCACCCAGCACCATCCTGGGCTGGTGGACCTGGAGGCCACCAGGGTCATCACCAGCCCAGGATGGTGGACTCGGGGCCACCAGCATCATCCCTACCCCAGGTTGGTGGAGCTGGGACCACCAGGGTCATCCCCATCCAGGGCTGGTGGGACCTGGTGGCCACCAAGCATTGTCCCCATCCAGGGCTGGTGGGACCTGGTGGCCACCAGCATTGTCCCCATCCTGGGATGGTGGGACCTGGGGCCACCCAGTGCCATCCTGGGCTGGTGGGACCTGGTGGCCACCAGCATCATCCCCATCCAGGGCTGGTGGGGTCTGGTGGCCACCCGTGTCCATCCTCACCCTGGGTTGGTGGGACTTGTGGGGGAGCACCCAGCACCATCCTGGGCTGGTGGACCTGGAGGCCACCAGGGTCATCACCAGCCCAGGATGGTGGACTCGGGGCCACCAGCATCATCCCTACCCCAGGTTGGTGGAGCTGGGACCACCAGGGTCATCCCCATCCAGGGCTGGTGGGACCTGGTGGTCACCCAGCATTGTCCCCATCCAGGGCTGGTGGGACCTGGTGGCCACCAGCATTGTCCCCATCCTGGGATGGTGGGACCTGGGGCCACCCAGTGCCATCCTGGGCTGGTGGGACCTGGTGGCCACCAGCATCATCCCCATCCAGGGCTGGTGGGGTCTGGTGGCCACCCGTGTCCATCCTCACCCTGGGTTGGTGGGACTTGTGGGGGAGCACCCAGCACCATCCTGGGCTGGTGGACCTGGAGGCCACCAGGGTCATCACCAGCCCAGGATGGTGGACTCGGGGCCACCAGCATCATCCCTACCCCAGGTTGGTGGAGCTGGGACCACCAGGGTCATCCCCATCCAGGGCTGGTGGGACCTGGTGGTCACCCAGCATTGTCCCCATCCAGGGCTGGTGGGACCTGGTGGCCACCAGCATTGTCCCCATCCTGGGATGGTGGGACCTGGGGCCACCCAGTGCCATCCTGGGCTGGTGGGACCTGGTGGCCACCAGCATCATCCCCATCCAGGGCTGGTGGGGTCTGGTGGCCACCCGTGTCCATCCTCACCCTGGGTTGGTGGGACTTGTGGGGGAGCACCCAGCACCATCCTGGGCTGGTGGACCTGGAGGCCACCAGGGTCATCACCAGCCCAGGATGGTGGACTCGGGGCCACCAGCATCATCCCTACCCCAGGTTGGTGGAGCTGGGACCACCAGGGTCATCCCCATCCAGGGCTGGTGGGACCTGGTGGTCACCCAGCATTGTCCCCATCCAGGGCTGGTGGGACCTGGTGGCCACCAGCATTGTCCCCATCCTGGGATGGTGGGACCTGGGGCCACCCAGTGCCATCCTGGGCTGGTGGGACCTGGTGGCCACCAGCATCATCCCCATCCAGGGCTGGTGGGGTCTGGTGGCCACCCGTGTCCATCCTCACCCTGGGTTGGTGGGACTTGTGGGGGAGCACCCAGCACCATCCTGGGCTGGTGGACCTGGAGGCCACCAGGGTCATCACCAGCCCAGGATGGTGGACTCGGGGCCACCAGCATCATCCCTACCCCAGGTTGGTGGAGCTGGGACCACCAGGGTCATCCCCATCCAGGGCTGGTGGGACCTGGTGGTCACCCAGCATTGTCCCCATCCAGGGCTGGTGGGACCTGGTGGCCACCAGCATTGTCCCCATCCTGGGATGGTGGGACCTGGGGCCACCCAGTGCCATCCTGGGCTGGTGGGACCTGGTGGCCACCAGCATCATCCCCATCCAGGGCTGGTGGGGTCTGGTGGCCACCCGTGTCCATCCTCACCCTGGGTTGGTGGGACTTGTGGGGGAGCACCCAGCACCATCCTGGGCTGGTGGACCTGGAGGCCACCAGGGTCATCACCAGCCCAGGATGGTGGACTCGGGGCCACCAGCATCATCCCTACCCCAGGTTGGTGGAGCTGGGACCACCAGGGTCATCCCCATCCAGGGCTGGTGGGACCTGGTGGTCACCCAGCATTGTCCCCATCCAGGGCTGGTGGGACCTGGTGGCCACCAGCATTGTCCCCATCCTGGGATGGTGGGACCTGGGGCCACCCAGTGCCATCCTGGGCTGGTGGGACCTGGTGGCCACCAGCATCATCCCCATCCAGGGCTGGTGGGGTCTGGTGGCCACCCGTGTCCATCCTCACCCTGGGTTGGTGGGACTTGTGGGGGAGCACCCAGCACCATCCTGGGCTGGTGGACCTGGAGGCCACCAGGGTCATCACCAGCCCAGGATGGTGGACTCGGGGCCACCAGCATCATCCCTACCCCAGGTTGGTGGAGCTGGGACCACCAGGGTCATCCCCATCCAGGGCTGGTGGGACCTGGTGGTCACCCAGCATTGTCCCCATCCAGGGCTGGTGGGACCTGGTGGCCACCAGCATTGTCCCCATCCTGGGATGGTGGGACCTGGGGCCACCCAGTGCCATCCTGGGCTGGTGGGACCTGGTGGCCACCAGCATCATCCCCATCCAGGGCTGGTGGGGTCTGGTGGCCACCCGTGTCCATCCTCACCCTGGGTTGGTGGGACTTGTGGGGGAGCACCCAGCACCATCCTGGGCTGGTGGACCTGGAGGCCACCAGGGTCATCACCAGCCCAGGATGGTGGACTCGGGGCCACCAGCATCATCCCTACCCCAGGTTGGTGGAGCTGGGACCACCAGGGTCATCCCCATCCAGGGCTGGTGGGACCTGGTGGTCACCCAGCATTGTCCCCATCCAGGGCTGGTGGGACCTGGTGGCCACCAGCATTGTCCCCATCCTGGGATGGTGGGACCTGGGGCCACCCAGTGCCATCCTGGGCTGGTGGGACCTGGTGGCCACCAGCATCATCCCCATCCAGGGCTGGTGGGGTCTGGTGGCCACCCGTGTCCATCCTCACCCTGGGTTGGTGGGACTTGTGGGGGAGCACCCAGCACCATCCTGGGCTGGTGGACCTGGAGGCCACCAGGGTCATCACCAGCCCAGGATGGTGGACTCGGGGCCACCAGCATCATCCCTACCCCAGGTTGGTGGAGCTGGGACCACCAGGGTCATCCCCATCCAGGGCTGGTGGGACCTGGTGGTCACCCAGCATTGTCCCCATCCAGGGCTGGTGGGACCTGGTGGCCACCAGCATTGTCCCCATCCTGGGATGGTGGGACCTGGGGCCACCCAGTGCCATCCTGGGCTGGTGGGACCTGGTGGCCACCAGCATCATCCCCATCCAGGGCTGGTGGGGTCTGGTGGCCACCCGTGTCCATCCTCACCCTGGGTTGGTGGGACTTGTGGGGGAGCACCCAGCACCATCCTGGGCTGGTGGACCTGGAGGCCACCAGGGTCATCACCAGCCCAGGATGGTGGACTCGGGGCCACCAGCATCATCCCTACCCCAGGTTGGTGGAGCTGGGACCACCAGGGTCATCCCCATCCAGGGCTGGTGGGACCTGGTGGTCACCCAGCATTGTCCCCATCCAGGGCTGGTGGGACCTGGTGGCCACCAGCATTGTCCCCATCCTGGGATGGTGGGACCTGGGGCCACCCAGTGCCATCCTGGGCTGGTGGGACCTGGTGGCCACCAGCATCATCCCCATCCAGGGCTGGTGGGGTCTGGTGGCCACCCGTGTCCATCCTCACCCTGGGTTGGTGGGACTTGTGGGGGAGCACCCAGC